CACTGTGCAGACGTGCAACCTCATCTCCACCCCGCCTTGCCCCCAGCCCCGAGCCTCCCAGGAGTCCCGTGTGCGAGTCCTGATCCGAGCCCTGCTCCGGTGCAGCAGGGGGCGGGGGGGGGGCAGGGCGGAGGGCAACAGGGAGGTGATCTCTGAGCAGACGTCAAGGGCCAGAAAAAGCAAGTTGGCTGTTGGAGGGTCTCAAACCTGCTTACTTTGGTAAGCTTTAACTGTCTTTTATTTCCCGGGTTTGGTCCCCCTTTGTTTCTGCTGAGGATTTTGGCTATTGTCCTTTTAAAATGTGTAGCCTATCTCAGTTGAGCCTAAGGAAATAAGAGAATGGAATTGAATGTGCAGACTGTTCAGGTCCCAGAGAAAGTCAGGCAGTGAACCCTGGCACCAGACGTCACGGGCACAGCACCAAATGGGAGAGGAAAACTCAGAAGACTTGCCCCTGGATAGCCACTTGCACGGTGCTTTCCTGCTCTGCTCTGAGAAGGCTTCCTGTTTTAAGAATGGAAATTGTTCTGAACAAGGAGCCAGCAGCCTTTCCCTCCGAGCATCGAGCATCGCGACTCTAACCTCCGATAGGGGAGGCTATTGGTGGCTGCGCTGGCCTTCTCCCCAGCAGTGAGCCACCCTCTGGGGACTGACCAGGAAGTCTTCCAGAGGCCGCAGAGTTCTGGTGCTGGAGGGGAGGGGTCCAAGAGATGTGCCCTTCCCAGGGTGGCTCCTGTGACCTCTAGACTGGTGCCCAGGGCAGAGGGTCAGCTCCTACACGGAGAAGACAGTCTTATGAGCCAGCTTTGCCCAGGCCAGCTGGGGGCTGCTTCCTGGGGCTGCAGGGTGCTGAGCAAGGGAGCAGCGAGGGTGGAGAGAGGGCAGGGAGCGGGCCCGAAGGAGAGAGGCCCAGGCCCTGGCAACCCTGGGCCCTCGAAACCCACACTCCCCACTCTTCCTCTCCCACGTTCTAGAAATAGGGTCTACTTTGTCTGTGGGGTCATTTGTGATCCCAGCTGCATCCACAGCCTCGGGCTCTGCCCCAGAGGGGCCTGGGAACTGCCCAGCCCCCAGAAGGCATTGCCATGTGCTGGCCGGATGGCCCTGCAGCTCATGGCACAGACCGGGAGGCCCTGGGAACTCCCTGAGTTGGGGAGTGAAGAATTCTTGAACTATAAAGGAAACTCCCTAAATGCAGTTCTCCACGGAGGTGGGAGAATCTGCCAGGAGGAGGGCAGGGGTTTTCCCATCCTGACTCAGGTCCTGAGATTCCCTCCAGAGCCTTCCGGCCGCCTCTGCTGCTACCACGGCACAGGCCTCGTGGGGGCGCTGCTCCCCCTCTGACAGTGGCAGCAGGATGGGCCCACAGCTCCTGCTTTAGACTAGCCTGCACCGAAGTCCCTGAAGGGGTGGCAGGGTGAGTGGAGGGAGAGGGACACGGCTTTACCACCCCATTCTTCCTCTTGACCCCGGACAGGTTGCTGCCCTGGCCTGCAGGGCCCTCAGTCCTCGCCCCTTGGAGAGAAAGGTGTGTCTGCCCCCCCACCCCCCACCTCGCCCAGCAGCCCCCGGTAAGCTGCGCAGTGAGGAAGGCGGGGCCTGTCCTCTGCCTGGATTCCACCCAGGCCCAGGCTCTGCAGAATGGGTGCACCCTTCCATTCTGGCTTTTCTGCCAGGCTCCTTGGCCTCCTGTCTCCTGTGAACACACGTACAGCTGCACTCTCAGGATGCCAGTCCTGTCTCCCTTCCTCCCGAGCACTTCATCCTCTGGCTCTTCCTTTCCTCCGGCCCCTCTGCCGCCGGCCCCCTCCCCTCTCCCCCTGGTTAACCAGCCGTGTAATGAGCGTCCAGGACTGTGCTGATGGATGGTGGCCCTTCCTCACTGCCCTTCCTCCGCCTCCCCACCGCTTTCCAGCCCCTCTCCTCACCTCTCCCTCCACCACCTATTTTCTCACCAGGGACCGGCTCCAAGAGGGACGGGGCCTCTGGATTAGCCAGTGGAAGCAGTGGTTGGGGAGATAACAGGGGTGGTGCAGGCAGCTCCTGCAGATAAGGATTTCCCAGACTCCCTCGGGACTGCTGTACTGATGAAGAAGGATGCTTCTGACCCTGACGGCTTCCCGGTCCCTGACGGAGCCCCGCCTGGAGGTGGATAGAGAGGCAGGGGGCTTGAAGGAAACAGCTAGGGACTTAGGGCGGTCAGAACTGAGTGTGAATCTCAACTCTTGACAGTCATTAGCAGTACGACCTTGGACAAGTTCGCCTCAGTTTCGCCGTATGTAAAGTGCAGATAATAGGTACGTTGATGCCTTTTGCTAAAAGTTCAATAAATGTTGGCTCCTGTCCCTGCTGCCAGGGTGCTGGGCCCCCTCCCCGCCCCCGTTCCCCTGCATCCTGGACTCCACCCAAACGCTAACCCTTTCCTACAGACCCTCTGTATACCAGGCACATTCTCACCCACAGTGTCACCTAATCCCTCTTTTTACAATTCGAAAAGCTGGGAGGCAGGGAGGTTAACAGTGACCAGACTATTGGTCAAGGGCAGAGGCAGAGCCCAGGAGCCAGAGTCCAGAGCCCCAGGGCCCGGGGCGCCGGGGGCAGCCGGTGCTGAGCAAGGAGCCCAGAAACTCAGCTGGGCAAGGGCTTCAACGGCTCCTGTGGGGCAGTGAGTGCCGGGCTCTGGTCCTGCCCTCGTCACTTAATGGGTGACCGTGGGGAAGTCCTTTTCCCTCCCTTAGCCTCTCCTCCCTCTTCCTCACCTTGCAGGGGCGTGGGGCAGGGACTGCACGCTTCGTGAGGCTCTAGCAGCCTGTTCCCTCCCCTGCAGAGGGCCCCAGCACTGTGTCCACAGGGTCGGCCTGCGGTGTGAGGCGATGGCTAAGGTGGACGTCTAGTCCTCATTTTCCCCACCCTCCACTTCCTCCTTCTTCTCCGCCCCCATTTTCTCCCTCTTCACCACCCCCACCCCCATTTCTGTCGCTTGGGGCCAGTAATCAATGAGACGTAAAATGAGAAACGTATCAGGAGCTGGCAAAGCATGGAGAGCAGCTGGGGCAGCCTCCACGCTCCTCGTGGGCTGGACTGCCAGCCTGTCTGTCACCTTGGCCCAGCCTCCCATGTCCACCTCAGACCATCAGGCCAGCAGTGACTCACCAGCCTGGGCCCAGGCCCCCAGCTAAGGATCAGAGTCGGGGGGCCTATTTCCAACCAAGCCAGAGGCCTCACCTTAAAAAGAGTGACGAAATCTATGTGCATTGACATGGCAAAATGCAGCCAGGACGTACGGTTGAGTCATAAGAGCAGCTTACAGGATACCGTGGTCCCATTTATGTTATTATATAGAAGTGTTTGTATGTATATAAAAATACGGGCGGGGAGGCTTGGAACTGGGAAGAGCAGCTATCTCTGGGAGTAGATTATAGGGGTAACATTTCACTTCCTACTTTATACATATTTCTTTTGTTGAACCCTTAAAACAAGCATATATTTATACTATGTTTTACTGATAAAAATTAGATAACTTTTATAATAAAGATATTCCCATTACGGGGGGAAAGCCTTGCAGAAATATGCACAGGATAATAAAAAAAAATACTGTGTCTTTGCTTCAGGTGGAATTTTATCAATCTGGGGTGGGAAGTCTGGAGAACTCCTGCTGATCCAAAGCACTAGATCTAAAATCAGAGTACAAATGGTTTGATTTTTAAAAGGCAAAAATCAATCCCTCACTGAGTCTGGTTTGTAAGAGCAAATCTGTCAAAATATATATGATTCTTAAAGCAAAAGGGGAATAACTGTAAAGGGGTGCTTGGTGCCCGCAGCCCAGACCTGGACTCAGGGCTGGGGCAGTCAGGGAGAACCTGCACCGCCGCCCGCCCCCCACCCCCCACATCGCAAGCTTGAAAGCCAGGCCCTCATCCACACTGTGGTCCAACCGCTAGTCCCCAGCAGGACGCAGCTTCCCTCCAACCAGCCCAAGGCCACTGTGGCCTGCCTGCGGGAGCTTTTAGGAACGATTGTCCAAAATCCCTTGGCTCCTCGCCTTCCTGCTTTCTCCTGCACCCCAGCCCAGGGCTCCCGGGGACTCTCCCCGAGCCGAGGACCCAGGCTCGCGCATGCTGTGAACAGGGAAACGAGGTAAAGAACCAGGTGGGTTTGGCCTACATCATCGGAACGTGTATTTGACGGTGGAGAGGGTAGAGGGGCTGGGAAGGGGTCTGCGGGCTGTGGAAGGTCGCTTCGCTTGGGCTGCAGGATTCTGTCACTGTTCAGGTGACTGATTCTATTTCCCCCTCCCGAGGACTCAGCACCGGGGCCGAAAGGTGCAGTGAGATACGTTTATTGGTGGAGCTGCGGCGGAGTCCTCCCTCTCTCTGGGATAGCCAGGGCACAGCACCAACAGAGGGATGGACACAGACCCCCAAACGGACACATGGATGGTGCAGACTCATAGGGACCATAGCACAGCCACACAGGCACAGAGACACACAGGCCACAGCACCAAGAAACACACACACGTGCGCACACAGACAGAGCCACAGGGCCAGAACACACGGACAAAGTGCAAGTTTCGGGGCTCCTGCATAGACAGGGCGAGGGCCACGTGGGGAGGGGCCCCTGCTGACCTCCCCCAGGCATAGGCACACCAGCAGCACACAGACGGGCAGATGCCCAGCCAGCCAGCCTGCCATGCAGACAAATGAACTGCACGGAAAGGATGCTCGCGGCTCCCAGACTGTGGGGAGCTGGGACCACGGGACTGCCACCCCCACCCCCACTGCGCTGATTCCCTGCTCAGCCCAATTCCCGCCCCACATCCACCCCACCCCCCAATACTTTGGTCTTGCCCACTGGGGCTTGGGGCTGGGAAGTTGGAAGGTGGAAGGAGGGAGAGAGGAAGGGTAAGGGCCCAGCTCTGTCCGTTCTCCAAGAGCAAGGAGGCAGCTGCTGAGAGTCCGGGGCGGAGCCAGGGCCTGGCAGTGGGTGAGGGCAGGGCCCGCTCAGGCCTGGGGAGGCTCCCGGCAGCGCAGGCACTGGGCCATCTCCGGCTGGTACTGCTCGACCTGCAGGGTGGAGCTTGAGAATCCAAACCGGGAGTGGAGCCGGGATGTGGCTTCGGCCAGGACCGCTTCAGGGTCCGCCGTGGAGTCTGTGGGGGAGCGATAAGAGACAGCAGGTTCCCAGGGGAGCCGGGAACAGGCTGGGCTGAGATAAGGATCGGTGGGGGGAGACCCAGGGGCTTGCAGAGCATTCAAGCCAGGCTTCAACGGGGAGCTTCATTTGCTTTTTGTGTTGTTTGAAAAGCATAAAAATGTCTAAGAAAAGGTTGGAGAGACTCACCCCAAATCGACTGCGCTAACACGCTAAACTGTTCTTATTTTTCTGTTCTCTTTGTTCTTTGAGTATCCGTATACAGCTGCATTTCAGCAGCCAGGCTGCCCAATTTTCCAGGACAACCCAGATGTTAAAAATTCTGTCCCACTGTCCCTTTAGAAACATCATCAAATATCCCACAAAGTATAATATTTTTGGCATCCAAATTGCAAGTCTCTGATTGCTTCCTGCATCTGGAAGAAACTCAAAAATACTTTGTCAGCTTGTGAGTCACCATATATATTTTTAATAGTTGAATCATAATGTAGATATAACTTTATATTCAGCTTTTTCCTCTTAGCATTGTACTATAAACAATTTCCCTAGTTGCCCTACAGTCTTCACAATTGTCATTTTTAGTAGTTACATGACATCCCACTGAGTGGACGTGCTGGAATTTACCTAACTGCGCCTCATCCCCAGGACCCATCCCACGGAGATACTAGCGATCTTATAAAGGGTTACTGGTTCCCTGCCCCACTTTAAAGAGGGTGAAACCTCCCCCAGAACAGCCTGTCCAGGGCTCTTTGGCTCCAACATGCACGTGTGTGTGTGAGAGAGAGACAGACAGACAGACAGACAGACACAGAGATGGAGAGAGAGACTGAAACGATCCCAGTAATTCAGGCTATCTTCCCGAGTTTGTGGGGGGAGGGAAAGGGAGACATGTTTCTAGGAATAGGTGGCTGGGGCCAGTGTGGACTCACCGATGGCCAGATGTGCGGAGGCAACATGGTAAGTGAGCGTCAGGGACCACAGGTGTAGCTCATGAGTTGCCCGGACTCCTGGCACTGACAACAGTGTATCCCTCACTGGCTCAAACCCCAGATTTCGGGGGGTACCTGCAAGCAGCACCGGCCAAGCCTTCCTTCTAGAGCTGCTCCTGCCCAGGGGCAGCCTCCCCATTCTGTCCCCACTCATCCCGTTGATCCCCACCATTCACCCGGTGCCTGAATCGGCCCCAGAGCCCCAGCCTTCCCTCCAACACGCATCGGAGAATAGAGGGCCCAGTGCTGCAATGAGGTCAGAGGGGCCGGCGGGGCGGGGAGCCGTGGGGTCGGACTCACCTTCCATGAGGACACGGAGAACATCTCGAAGGGTGGGAGCTGTGGACCCAAGGGCACAGATGGAGAAGAGGAAGGTGCTGATGGGGTCGGCTGCCTTGTACTGAGGCTGGAGAGACAGAGAGAGAGACCCCTGAGCGCGGGAACCAGCGAATTTTCAGAGCAAGATCTAGGGGTGTCCTGGACAAAGAGGCCCTAAGAGTCACCTGAGAACCCTGTTCAGGGGAGAGGGACCGTGACCCTAGACGTCCTGGGGAGCTAGGCGCTGGGGTGGGGTTGCAGGGAGGCTGCAGGTCCTGGGAAGGGGAGGATGGGCTGTGGGGCCGGAGGAAGGACGCTGCGGCGGGCCTGATGGGCAGTACCTTGAAGTAGATGAGGATAGAGGCAGCCAGCACCCCGAGGCTCTGCAGGAGGTCCCCCAGCACATGCACAAAGGCCGCCCGGACGCTGGTGTTCCCCAGGGGCAGCGGCTGCTCGGGCCCTTCCTCCAGCGGTGCATACTCAGCCCCCCTGGACCCGTGGCTGTGGGGGGGTCCAGCCTGGTGCAGCACAAAGGCCATTCTGAGGGGGAAGCAGAGCAGCTCAGCCCAGGGGGGCCTGCCTCTGCCTCCTCTGCCTATTTCTGCTCCTCCTCCTCCCACCTCCCAGAGCTCTTTCTCCACTTAGTTTCTCCCTATTTTCCCAGCCCCAGGAAGAAGACAACATTGTCTAAGAGAGACTAATAGTGTAGCCCGGGGCCAAGAATACAGCACGTGGTGCCAGGGATTTGAATTCAGATGCTGGCCCTGCTACTTCAATAGCTATGTGGCCTGGGCAGGTCACCTGGTCACCTCTCAAATCTATTCCATTAACTGTATACTAGGGGCAATACAACCTGCCTCATAGGGCGGGTGTGAGCTTTCAATGAGATAATACTGATGAAAGCCCCCAGCAAGAGTGGATGGGACTCACAGCAGGCCTTTAACAAGTGTCTGTTGACTGAATTTTAGGTCCCTGCCCCAGACCCTTCTCAGGCATTCCCAGGGCAGGCTGATGGGGACTGCGTTTGTGTTGCCAGCTCTCCCAGCCCAGAGGAGGATCCCTTGCCCTGGACCCTACAAGGCGCCTGCTCTGTACGGGACGTACAGCATGTTGGCACAGACTGCGATGCTGGCGGTCAGCAGCATGGCGCCCCCCTCGATGTGGTAGTCGCTGTGCAGCAGGCGGATGAAGGCCAGGTACAGGAGGATGCCGGTGACCATCCAGAGGGAGACCACAGAGGCCAAAGCCCCCAGAGTCTCTGCAGGCGAAGACAAGCTATCAGAGACCTGCCGGGGACCCTAAGAGGTACCCTCTGGCAAGACTGGAGGGTCACCAGGTCATGCAGGAGGCTTACCGGAGCGGTGCCAGCCAAAGGTCATGGTGCGGGTGGCTGGACGGGTAGAGAGCCAAAGGGAGAAGAGGCTGCCCACCATGCTGCCCACGTCTGCCAGCAGGTGGGCTGCATCGGTCATAATGGCCAGGCTGTGTGCCAAATACCCGCCTGCAAGGGTACAACGATGTACGGTCTGGTTCTGCAGGGTGGGTGCGCCGGCATGGGAATGGGGCCAGGCACCCGAATGTGAGCCGTGACTTTTCACGGGGGATGGGATTACAGAGAGTTTTATTTTCTTCTTTTCACTTACCCACACTTTCTAGCTTTTCTACAGTGACATATTTTAATAACAAGAAAATAGGGCTTTTAAAAGAGCAGTTACCACGGAAGGCAGCCCTGGACCTCGCCCTGAACTTCCCCTGGTGCTGTCCCTCACTCTCGCCTACTCTGGGGTCCCAGGCTCCCAACTGCCGCGTCCCAGCCATCGCCATCTTCTCTGCGTCACCACCCAGGAACACCCCGGGGACTGTGAGCGGGGAGCGGCTCAGGCAGGCGCCGGGAGGATGGGCTTGGAGGAGCAGCTCTCCAACTTACCGACCACCTCCCCGGCCATGAAGACGCAGCACACGGCGCAGGCGGCACAGAGCTGCCTCTGTGCCTGCCGCCTCTCGGGGGTGAGACCCGGCTGTGGCAGGGGGTCCCTGTGGCAGTGGTGGAAGGGCATCTCCACAGGTTTGGGCTCCTCGGGCAGGGGCTCTGAGGGCTCTGTAAAGAGACTGCGGCAGGCAACGCGGTTCACCTGGGGCCCAGCCCGCTCTCAGACCCTGGATCCTGCGGCCTGGCTTCGCCCAACGCGGCCCATCTTTCACTCCTTCCCAGGGCCTGGCCAAGCCTGGGACCTTGTGGGCAGGGGGCCACACGAGAGATGGGGCCTAAACGAACACCTGGATCTCAGCCTTCCTTTCCTTTTCTTAAACATTTCACAGCTGGAAAGCACCTTAGAGGCGGCCAGTCTAACATCTTATTGAAGAAATTAGAAGTACGAGCCATGCCTCTATTGGACAGACCTGGAGCAGCTGCGGTCCGCTCCTAAGGTTCCAGTGCAGGTGCAAGAGAAAAGGGTCCTCACACTTTCTGTCTGTCTGATCGTGGTGACCAAAATTCAGTGGGGGAGCACCGTGAGGAAACACGGAGAGTTTACAACTCCGAAATTACCTTGTAAACAGTTGAGCCTGTTTTACTCCAAAGGAGAATCTAAAATATGAGTGTACAAGAGAAGTGCTGGCAAAATTATTCCCCTATATGCTTGCCTTCTGATTGATTCCACTTTTTAAAGCTTTAGGGTTAAAACTAATTGAAAGCAATCTATCTTTCTAAAAGAAGGAAGAGGAGGAGGAGGCAGAGGAGAAGAAGAAGAGGAAGAAGAAAGATGATGACGATGAAGATGGAGATGAAGAAGAAGAATTAGAGGTATGAGGCTCAGAGAGGGAGAGGACTTATGGAGGCCACACAGCTAGTTGGTGGTAGAGCTGAGACTGGATTCCAACCAGTTCAATCCATTATGATAGGCACCATAAGGCACAGCAAATGAGCAAATCGTCCAACAGAATTCGTTCTGATCTCTGGGAGCAGACAAATGTGTCCAGAAGGTAGTGATAGCCCTTAGAGCAGCTAACGTGACATCAGGGCTCTGATAGAGAAACATGATGATTCTAATGAGGAAGTCAGGGAAAAACTGAAGGAGGCACCATGAGAAGGCCCTTGAAGGACAGGGAGGACTTGAATGAAGACGAAGCGCGCACACCAGACAGAGGCCACAGGAAGGGAAGGTGGCGTGACGGTGTGGGGCAGGACTCCGCACAGGATCCTGCCCTCGGCGTCTCCTACTTCCCAGCCCCACGGCCTGTGCCTCCACTCCCAGGCCCTTCACCTTCCCTCTCCAGGCGCGCTGCTGAAGTGCGGCCCTTTAAGGGAGGAGTGGAATGTTGGGACCCAAGAAGTCTGAGGCTCCTGGCACAGAGAGCTAATGGCCGGGTTCCAGAGCTGGGTTGTCATGGGGAGGACGGTGTGCAGGATGCTGTGACTGGAGATGGTGGCAGTAGGAACATTGGCTTTGGAGCCTGCCGCACGTTAGCTGGACCTCGGTCTGAACATAAGCACCCAGCTGAGGCCACTGTGAAGGCACAGGGCCATAGACCTCCCTTGACAGATGACTGGGGCTGAGGGCTTCATCTGGGGAACGTCAGAGGCTGAGCGCAGGCTGACTGGGCTTTAAGCCCATTCTGGCCCAATTCTCACCCTCACTGCTGCCCAACCTGAACCCCGGCAAGGACAGAACTTTCTACAGAATAAAGGACCTAAATAGAAAAATACAGTCCTAGAAATAGTCACAGAAGTGTGACAAGAATACCAATGAGTGAACATGAAGGCTCCAGATAGAAACGTGAATCACAGCAGTAAAGTAAGGAGGGGTGCCTGGGGCCTCCTGGCTCAGGAAAGCTCTTCCAAGTGAGCGAATTAAGGTGTGAGGGAAGTGGGGAGACCTTTGGCGCTTGTAGGGAAAATTCGAGTGCTGGTAAGTCGATTCATTTCTGGGAATTCCCTTCCAAGACTTAGAATCTGGATGTGTGTGATTCTAGGTGTGTTTTCGGAGACTAAGGGGAGATAGGGGTGGCTTTGAAACCCACCTCGTTCTTCAACAAGCTGTGCCAGGCAGTGTACACATGCTGAAGCCCAATCTAGCAGGAGAGACAGATGTGTCACAAATGACTTACTATGCAGAGAGGCCAGGGCCAGGAGCCTTATGAACAAAGGACTTCGGAGCATAGGCGGGGAGGGACCAACTCTACTGGGGGTGAGGAGAACGCCACAGAGGGAGAAATGTAGAAGATGAGACGTAGGTGGAGAAGGGGCATCCAAACACATGGAATGACAATGACAAGATGCTCAGCAGGGAGTTTAACTATGAGGAGCCAGGGAAAGGGCAGAGGAGGAAGGTGATGAACTCTAAGGAACATAAAGGGAAGTACAACTGATTGATTTCACATATCTTCCCTGAGCCCTGAGATGCCCTTGCTGATGTGCGTCTGGGAGAGGAGAGGCGATGGAAGGGTCCAGAACAGACCAGGCCAGAGGCTCCCTGAGCAGACTTCTAGAGGAGGGGTTAGGCAGGTAGGGAAGAGCCTCTTTCAGAATATACTGCAGGATTTGGTGACTAATGGTCATATGAGAATGAAGATGAGCTGGGAGACAGGGCTATGGGTCTGGGGAGTAGACAGAGGCTGCGCGGCTTTGGGGCAGTGGGTGAGACGCCTTTGCTGGTCCTGTGAGGCACAGTGCAGCCGGACACCGAGGGAGCCACCCATCAACAGGCTGCTCCCTTTTGTTCTGCAGGAATTGGGCCCTAAAGAACCTCATTGTTAGTGTGTGAGTGTGCGTGTGTATGGCGGCGGGGGGTGGGGGGGTGGGGGCTGTATCTGCTGTTTAGAGACAAGGGAAAGCAGTTTTCTCTCCTAACCCTCTGAAACCTCCAACAAACAACAAATAATATTGAGCGGGGCAGGAGATGTAGGGAGGGAAGATGGTCTGAAGCAGAGTCGACAGGATATGGGAAGAGATGCCCAGGCCACGGCTGGAGCCCCCACAGCCGCCCACGTCTGCAGTGCCCTGCAGAAAGGAGTCAGACGGAGTCCTCCCTCCTTCTGCTCCCCGACCCACACGGGTTTACAGCCCCCACCCAGAGAAGGATCCAGAAACACATACAGAGACACCATATCAGACAAAAGGAGATGGGCTGAGAGGGAAACAGAAAGATGGGGAAAGATGAGAAAAGAGACAAACGGACGGTTGGCCAGCAGACAAAATGGCCAGCGAAGGTGGCCAAGGAGGGCCTGGCTCGGGCGCTCGGAAAGGCAAGGCGGACAGAGCCGGCGGGCGCCGCGCGGGAGGCCGGCGGGACGCGGAGGCGGTTCTCCCGCCGCCCCCGGCCCGCTGTCCCGGCCGCTCCGCGCGCCTCATTTCACACCTCGCCGCCCCCGGCCCCGTCTGTGCGCAGCCCGGAATACCCCCTGCCGCCCAGCCCGCACCTGCTCCTTCCTCATCGCCCCCTCGCTTCCTCCTGCCCGCCGCCCCCAGGGGCCCGGAAGAGCCGCCGCGGGGCCCGGGCCCATGCTCGGTCCGGGAGCCCACGGCTGGCCACGGCTGGAGGGGACGCCCTGAGCCCGAGCGCGCGGAGCGAGGGGCTGGGGGCCTGCCGATGGGGCTCCGAAGCCTAGGCGACGGGTGCTCCCACCGCCAGGGCCCCGGAGCACTGCGGACATCGGGGCGCCTGCCACGGACTCCGGTCCGACGGAGGGCAGTCGCTCGTGGGGCAGCCGGAGGCGGCGGGGGCGGCGGAGGGATGCGGCGGCTCGGGGGGCGGGCCGGGGAGCCGCTTCGCCGGACCGGGAGGAAGAGTGTGGCTGGGAGAGCGCGTAGCGGGCCTGCCGAGCGGCGGGGGTCGGGGTCTGTGTGGCCGCAGAGGAGGGAGCGGGGCGCCGCGAAGCCGAGGGGTCGCGGGGCGCTGGGGCAGCCGGCCCGGGCCGCGCCGAGGGAGACAACGAAACGGACGGATGGCAGGAGGGTGGCGCACCCCGGCGGCCGGCTGGCCGAGGGCTAGCCCAGGTCTGTCCTACCTCTTCAAACGCAGGCCGCCACCTGCTTCGCCGCGGTCCCGGGGGCTCACCAGGCGAGTAGTCTCCGAGCCCCCCGTGGCGGGAACGGGCTCCATGTCCTCGCGGCCCCGGCCGTCTAGGCCCCACCGAGGGAGGGAGAGGTGGGGCCGGCCCCCTGCCAAGTCCAAGAGGCCAGCCGACCCCCGGACTCCCCGCAGAGCGGCGGGGCCACCAGAGTGGAGGGAACTGCGGCGCCTGTGGCGTGGGGTGTCTGAACTGCAGATCCCGCGGCCGCCGGAGCCCCGCCCCGAATGGGGCGAGCTCCCCAAGCCCCGCCTCCAGGCTACCCGGCCTCGCCCCTCACGCCTAAGCCCCGCCCCCGCAGCCCTACCCCCGTAGCCAAAGCCCACTGCCCAGCGCGGGAGCCAGGTGGGATGGGGCGGGAGCCCTCTGCGGCCTCGGCCTCTCCGGGTCCGAAGACCCCTGATTTCCAGAGCCCGCGCCCTCTCGGGGGACTAGCCCCGCCCACCCAAGCCCCGCCCACCGGCTCCACGCCGAGCTCCTCCAGCCGCGGGACCTCCCGGACCAACCTTCACCCGAAGACCACTGCCCCTTGCAAGCCGGCGCCGGGACATCTCCGCTCCTGACACCTGGTCATCCCGTGACCCCTGCCCCCTACACGGAGGCAGAAGCAGGTGTGGATCCATTACCTATCTCGAGAGAACCAGAAAGAATGTGGGGTGAGTAGTGTGATCGTCTGGGAGAACTCCAGGAACTCCAGCCAGAAACCACTCTGTGGAGGATGCGGGGTCAGAATTCGTGAGCTCAGTCTGCTGCCAAGCGCTGTACCGTTCATTATTATTTATTTTTATACAGAGACTTTGGATGACAAAAAGCTTCCTGATCCCCTTCCATCCATTATTATCTCTATTTTCCGGATGAGTGAACTGAGTCCCAGAGAAAGAAGTGTCCAGGGTATGCAGCCAGTGAATGCAGGGCTGGGGCGGGAACCCCGTCCTCTGTCCCCTCCTGCTTCAGGTCACAAACTACACTGATGACCAAAGAGAGTGCGGTCTTGTTACTCAGAATTCTGGGGCAGCTGAAGGAGGGAGGAGCAAGCGAGTGCCCCGTCTCTCTGGGGTCACAAGCCACTGCTCCTGGAGGGAGGCTGTGGTCAGCTTGCCAACAGGTGATTCGTTACCTCGAACCTGTAGTACCTTCCTGCGCATTAGCTCATTCTGCCTCCTTTTAGCGGAAGCAGGGAGCGACTTGCAGCAAAGTCGGTGGCCGAGCCTGGAGCCGAAGCTTCAAACGCTCAATGCCGTCTGCCCCTCACACCTGCTGTCACTGTAGATTAAAAAGGGGGTGGCAACCGGACTGTGCACTTCAAGCTGTGACTGGGGGTAAAGCTGGGGTCCGTGAGAGGAGGGGGAAGAGCGAAGCACGGACGGGGAAGCGGGGAGGGTGGGTGTGGTTAGTAAGCCCAGGCAAGGAACCCATCAACCTCACCCTCAGTCCATACTGGGCGTCCTGAATTTAGGGACATCATTATTGTTATTCCAAACAATAAGACCACGTATACACTTCTAGAAACAAGAAACTGGAACACGTGCCAGATAGAGTTGGAAGTGACGGGGTTAACCCCGGCGAGCTCCGCGGAGGAGGTGAGGCGTGAACGGATTCGGCGAGCGAGCTGGGCGCGGGCCCGCGGCTCGAGCGGGGGAGAGCGCCGCCGGCGCCAGGCTTTGCGGGCTGCGTGTGCGTAGGTACCGCGCTGCGCCGGGGAGCCGCGCGAAAAAGAACAGCAAGAGGGTCTGCCCGAGCCCACGGCGCGGCGCCGCTACTCGCGCCGCGCCCGCGGCCGGCGCCCTCACCCCACTCCCCGCCCGAAGCCCACGCGCGGCGAGAAGAGTGGCGTTCTCCCTTCATCCTCTCCTAGAGGCATAGGACCTCAGCTCCTTGTTTGAGTTAGAGCGGGGCAGACCCTGGCGGCGGGAGGTGAAGCCAGGAGCTAAGGTCACCTTGTTGGTCCGTGTCAGGGCCAGTGTGGAACTCAGGTCCCCGCCCGCCGGCGCCAGGGCCCGGGCCCGTGCCGCCTGGCGCCGTCGGTTTTCTAAGCCCCACAGCAGGCCTGGCACTGCCCGGACTCTGAGAGCCTTGGCGCTGGGACGCGGAGGGGCCGCTGGGCACTACAGGGCTCGGCTGCGGGAGCCCCGCCCCAAGTGGCCGTGGCAGGCGAGATCGAGCCCTGGAAGAAACCGCGGGGCCCTCTGCGGGAGAAGGGGCTTCTTAGGCACGCCTCGGCTGATGACGACAACTGGGGACGTGATAGTAACAACTATGGCTTCCTCCCGGATTTCCCTTCTTGGACAGCCCACGGCGGACCATCAGCAGCCCGGGGTAGAGGGGGTGGGGGAGTGCGGGAGTGGGGGGGGGTGCACAGACGCTGGCACGTGCCCGTCCCGCGAGCCGGCGGAGAAGGGAAGGGGGCGTCGGAGCAGATGGATTACAGGCCTGCCCTCTGCCGTGGCTCCCTGGGTGTCGGGCCTTGGAACGAGCTGCCTCCGGAAGCTGGCACACCGGCGGGAGAATACCAACAGTTGCCTTTCCTTGGAAACGTATGCAAGAGAAGCCTGGCAGCGAGGCAGACTTGCGCGCACCTGTTTCTCAAAGAGCCATCAAGTGGCCGCGTGAAGAGCTTTGCAAAGGGTTCTCTTGAATGCCCGGCCTGAGAAAGACATTCTGCACCTGACTCAGAGCTGGGAAAATTATGCGGCAGTTAGAAACACAGCTTCGAACTGCAGTCTTGTAAAAACTATTCATTTAACATTTACTGAACACTTATTTCCTGCCATGCACGTTGCTAGCATAGCGGGGATTCCTGATGAACAAGATAAACGTGTTCTCTCCTTTCCTGGCTTTCACTGATTTCAAGAGATTTCCATTTTTGCTGTGTTTTGTTACTGATTTGCCCCTGTTCTCTTAGTGCCTGTCAGATACCCATCTTCCCTAAAGCGAGTCCTTAGGCCACTCTTAGTCCCAGGCATGATAGTGGCAGGAAGCTCTGGATGTTTCCAGGAAAGAAGTCAATGGCAGTTCCAGAGCAGAGAGTGGCAGAGCAGGTCAGAAGGGGATTTGGGGTGCAGTTGGGGTGGTGGGGGGAATCAAGCTAGACCAGTTCACTTTGATAGAAAAGGAGAGTAAAGCCCAGGTGAGGTCAGGATTTAGGCTGGCTAGAGATCTCAGGCAAGATTTGGAATCCAAGCATGTGGACAGGGGTTAACACTTAAAAGCTCCAACCCAGGTTGAAGGATACACACAGAGGAGGCAACCTGCACGCCATTCACTGCTCAGATGTTACCTCCAGGAAACCTTTCCTGATTCCCCCCAGCTGGGTTCTGTGCCCCTACCTGATGTTCTCAAGACCCACTGTGCTTATGTGGTGGTTGTACCACTCGCGACGTTTAAGGAAATCATTTGCTTGTCTGTCTCCTTGCTAGAGTACAAACTCCCTGAAAGCAGGAACTTTCTCATCACTGTGTCCCCAGCGCCCCCTACTGGCTGCCGCTTCGTCTCTGAAAAAGCCATCCCAGAAGCAGGAGCCGATTTTTTAGAGTGGAAGCAGTATGGAGGAAGTGGGATTTTAGCTGCAGATAGGACGAGGGCCAGCTGCAGTTTAAATGTCACCTCCTCGGCGAGGCCTTTCCTGACCCCCAAACTTTGTTCTCATGTCATACATTCTCACTGCACACTTTTTCTTCCCTAGCACTTATATTGCAATTACATTGTTATTTGGGCCCGGGTCCCATGGTTCAGTCGGTTGGTGGTTGTTCACTCTACTGCAAGGTTGTCGGTTCGATTCCTGGTCAGGGTACATGCCTAGGTTGTGGGTTCAATTCCCCAATGAGTTACATAGAGGCAACCAATCAATGTTTTTCTCTCACATCAATGTTTCTCCCTCTGACTCCCCGCCCCCCACATACACACTTCCTCTCTCTTTAAAAATTAATGGAAACATGTCCTTGGGTGGGGACTTTTTTTTAATTGTTATTTGGGAATTGTTTCTTCTCTTGGCTCCCAGGATACTGTAATCTGGTTTTCCTCGTACCTCACTGACTGCTTGTTGTCAGTCTCCGTTGCTGGTTTCTCCTCATCTGCTCAGCCTTGTGATGTTGGGGTAGTCCAGGGCTTGGGCACCCTCTTCTCTTACCACCTCCCTCCTATGGAGATCACATCCAGCCTTGAGGCTTTAAATACGATCTAGAAACAGCAGAAAGCAATGGTTGTTGAAACTAAGTAATGGGTACATGGGGAATTATTGTACTATACTATTTTTGTATGTGTTTGAAATTTTCTATTAAAAAGAAACTTTAAAAAAATAAAAAGAAACTTTAAAAGAAGGCATCTCATAAGGTAATTCTCAGATTTCTCACTTGAACTCCAAACTTAAATATCTAAATGTCAGCTTGATCTCTCCTCCTTAATGTCTAGTGGGCACATCAAGCTTCCTTTGCCTCAAACCAAGCTCCCGACCCCCACCCCACCCCCGCCCTTCTCTGTCAGCAGTCCTCTCCTGTCAGAACGCGGTAGCTCCATCCTTCCCTTCGCTCAGGCCAGAAACCTTAGTTAGAGTCATCCTTGACTCCCCTATTTTCACCCCCAGCCAATCTGTCAGCAAGTCCTGCCCCCACTCTTGTCCAAACCACCATTGTGTTCTTGATGAATCCAGGCACCTGCTGGGTGTCTTCCTTCTACTCTTGTGCCCCACAGCCTCGTCTCAGTGGAGCGACTGGACCACACACGCCAGATTGCATCACTCCCCGTGCATCCCTCCACCGGCCGCAGGCCTTCCACTGGCCTGCAAAGCCTCACACAACCCAGCCCTGGCTGATACCATTTCATTCCCCTGCCGCCTCATTCTCCAGCCACGCCGGCCTTCGTGCAGGTCCTACAACACGCCAGGCAATTCCCGCCCCAGGGCCTTTGCACCCACTCGTCCACCTGCAATATACTCTGCCAGGTGTCTTCACTACTCACTCGAGGATCTACTTCAGATTCTGACTCAGGTGTCACCTTCTCAGGCCTTATCTGCTTATCGTCTTTTAAAAACCTCACCTGAGGATA